AAGTTATACTCACCAGCAATATTATGCCTTTCATGTTTTGTTTTTTTGTGAGGAGGCGTATATTCATCATTCATCAATTCATCATTCATCAATTCATCATTTTTGCACGACCTAGAAGCAAAATAGGTATGCATTTTCAAAATATATAGATCAGAAGTTATACCTTTGTTTTCTTTCCTATTATTGGCCTTCACTGTCTTTACTACTTTCTTTACATTCATCTCTTCACCTTTTGATGCTGGAACTAAAGAATAATTGAAGAAATTTTAAAAGCACAACTTTATAACTCACCATCATTCATAAAAATATGGTCCAAATCATCGCATTCGTTTACTCCGACAGAATCATTTTCATCTTCTGAATCAGTGCCTGTATCGCCTTGAACGGCTTCTAAAACGCGCGACATGCGCACAATATCCCTCGTTTGTACCGGTAGTCGGTAAATTTTGTTGTGGATATCTTCCGCGTGCCCCATAAACATTGCCACGTCTTTTATAGTATTTTCACTTAAATCCATAACTGCGCATTCAGTCGCAATTTGTTTCCTCAACACTGTGGCACGGAGGAGGTGGGGTTGTTTGGCACCAGATTGGGATGCATAGATTCTCATTATAACATACGCCCTCAAATATCGATGTCTATGATCTACTTGTGGAAGCCCAAATAGATAGGGGTTGTCAACATGAATACCAGCATCACTTCGGTACTTTAGGATCAAATTTAAACATAATTCCAGCTCCCAATGCACTAATACTGGTACAGAACGATTTAACTTTCCCCGAATCTCAAACCGAGAATATGTTTCTGCTGCTTGACGATCTTGCTGATCAAGTAATGACAAATTTGAAGTATTATCAATTTTACTTCTACTGTGATAATCAGACAGTGTAAGTCTTTCTAACTCACCAGGTCTACGACGGTTAAATACCAACAAAGAAATCAAAGTAGAACTAGCTAAAGAATGCCATGTCTCGTAAGGAAAAGAATTTCCTTTGTAATTTTTCAAGAGTGAATACATCTCCCTACGAATTCGTCTTACGTGAGCAACCAACATTTTAACATCTGATTTATCTGGTAATTTTACTACTTTGTGCCTTTGGTCTTGTACGCGATTTTCAATTGCAATTTTATTAATAACAGAAGCATTGTCCATCTTCATTAATAGTAGGAAATCTTCTGCATCAATTTTCGCTGCAGTATTTTTTGATTTAATGCATTCTACGCGCCATATATCTGTTGCAACCTTAAACAATGTATTTGCCATCGTAGCAGTTGAAGGAGCACGGTAAACAGTACCAGATTCATTTAAACCACTCACTTTATTTATGGTTACAATCACCAACTCATAACGGATTGGTGTAATAAGCGAGGAGAAATCCTTTACAGTTGAATCTAGCGCCTTTGCTTGGAGAAGTAATCTCCCCATTAATCGTAGTTTTGCTCTGATCATGTCATCAAAATGTGGGTCAGGATATAAACGGCATAAACGATTGGCAATAGTTATAGCTAAAGAATCAAATTGGATAACTTTAACACAATCATCATCTCTTAGAACAGGAAATATTCGAGTGGTTAGATTATGGCACGCTGCAGAATGGATTTGTCGATCCAATGCTCTACTTTTGGTCATAGTAGATCGATCACCTGGTTTTATAGTTTCTGCGCACCTTTTATAATGACGACGTAAATTTTTTTTTAAGAATTGGCCTTTGCACTCTGGGCATGTTGTAACAAGTTTACTAGATATGCTACTAGTGGCATTACGTCTTGCTACTAAGTATCTTCCACTGTTATTTTCCTGGGACTTATTATGTTCATAGTCTCCCTGGCGTCGAATAGTCTCAATTATTTTTTTTCTGTGTTTACTCCCTAAAAATTTGCTTTGGTTAGTGCCCAACATTTCTGTAATTTTTGAATCTTATATACACAATTACTTATTTTGCATTTTTGAATACTTCAAGTTTAAAACTATAGGTTATAACTCGGGTTCTAAGGTTCTTGGCTTACGAAATCCTGAAATTTTTAGATATCAAAACACACAATTTTTAGAATAAGAAAAACCTTTGAAACGTGGAAACTTTAAAATATTGAAGGCTTGAAATTTTAGAAACTTGAAACTACCTAAAACTGGATTTTTAAAATAGCTAAATGGTGAAGTTTGTAGCTGAGTTTTTGGATTTTGAAATTAAGCAAAGCTGACTGAAATTGGAAAATTTTGAATGTTTTAAAAGTCAAAATATTTGAAATTGTTAGATTTTACAATGTCATGTAAGTTCCATGTAAAAATATGATACCTAAATAATTCAAGCAGTTATACCTGGAGGGAGAGCCAAAAATTGTTGAACAGCTACTTCGTCGCTGTGACACGATTTGAAATGTTGAGGTAGATTTGAAGATATTTTCTTGCAATATACACAAAAGTATTTTCTACTACTTCGACTTCCAGCAATTCCTACATCATAAAGTGGTGGTGGTGTCTCATACAAACTTTGTGGGGGTTGAGGAAGTATAACTCTGCGACGATGGAAATTAACTACAGAGCCAGTAGCAATCACACTACGTATTGTAGAAGGATTTCCAATAAACGAATCAGACTTCTTGAAAGCTAGAAACAAATGAAAATCAGATTAATGGTTTGCCAATCTACATCAATGTCAGTACATGCATTTTTTTTATCCAAATAAATAAAGAACCAAACCAAACTCGTCAGAACTTGTGTAAAACAAAAGATTTGATAGTACGTACATGAAGCAGGTGCCTCAACCGTAAGCAAAAAATATCAAATTCTAGAAGTAAAGGAGATTAGATGAGCAAAGGTCCACATAAACCACAAATTTTTGTGTAACACTAACATTCTAAAAGAAATGTTATTGAAAGGCGATTGCGTACAATATAATACCATCTTACAGATCGCACAAAATAACTCCTACGAAAAATCCTTCATCATCAATCTATACAAAAAACTCAAGACACAAACACACACTCAAAACAGATTTATCCACATCACAAAATCAACAACAAATAAGTACATATCATTACCTACCCTATTACAAACACCTCCACACACAACTACAACAAACATTAAACCCACACAACACCACAATCATAAATAAATCACACCCCACACTTGCTCAAATTTAAAATAACATCAAACCCAAAGATCCTTTTCACCAAAATTCCGGAATATACAAAATAAAATGCGACCAATGTAATTGCACATATATTGGACCTCGTATCGGACTAACTACTCGTAAATTCCTCGTTAGATTCAATTAACACAAAAGAAATAACCCATCCTCTACCATAGGAAGACACTAACAAGACTCTAAAACACCATTTCAATAAAAAACTGCCAACTACTACATAATTCTGACAATTATAATAAATTATCAATCCTTGAACATTATGAAATCCAAAAAGGTCTACTAGACACTACTAATACAGAAATCGGATAACAACAATCACATCTACAAAACATTACCCCCTTTCAATGGCACGGCACTGTTCTTCATCCATACATAACCTCAAACTATACCACACACAGCACCGCATGTAAGTACAAAAATCGTAACAATTCACACTATTCTACATAAAAACAAGTTGTAAATCAGCATGTGCATGAAGAAGGCGCATTTTTGGTAATACAGATCAGTATTTTATTAGCAAAGTTTAAAATTATCGATCTCACGAGTAATCTAACTCAAAATAGACAATTATAGCCTGCACGTCATAGCAGAAAGCTTTTAGTGAAAGTCTCTAGCTATTGTAATTGCTGGGATCTTAGTCGGACAGCCAGCCAGCCATAACGAATATAATAGCATATTTTTTTTTAATGCACTAAAAACTACCCTTTCACACATACGCACACACATTACACAGTACACTAACCTTCCTTAAACATTTTCTTTCATTTCAGCTCAATAGATCCCTCACTCGAACATCACCAACTACTCTTTTATAAAGGTTTATGTATTTTAGCCTTTAACGGTAAGCTCTCATATTATATTGTAAAACCTATCACACATAAAATGTAACTTTTAGCTAAGCTCTGATGATGGAATTGATATTCTATGCAACCTGCCTTTCAATACGACGATACGTGATTTTCCCTTCGATTTAAACCTTGTATCAACTTAGAAATATTTCAAAACATGTTTGTGAATCTAATGCTCTTTTTAGTCAAATGAACAAGCAAGTTGCCAGCATTAATGGAAGAGGTAACACGTGTACACATACCATGTTCGGTACGGTAGCTGTTGCCGATGCGAGGAGATGATATCATTTCAAATTCTGAAACCAAGGCACCATTGGAATGGATACAATAAAATTAAAAATCTACACTTACCATCTTCGGTAGCAGTGTCTTTGGAGGGTGGTGATACGATTTCAAGGTCTGAAAACAAAAGATATCATTTAAACCTTGTACCAACTTAGAGAAATATTTCAAAAAATTTTTGTGAATCCAATGCTCTTTTTAGTCAAATGAACAAGCAAGTTGCCAGCATTAATGGAAGAGGTAACACAAAATTAGAAGTGTACACATACCATGTTCGGTACGGTAGCTGTTGTCGATGCGAGGAGATGATATCATTTCAAATTCTGAAACCAAGGCACCATCGGAATGGATACAATAAAATTAAAAATCTACACTTACCATCTTCGGTAGCAGTGTCTTTGGAGGGTGGTGATACGATTTCAAGGTCTGAAAACAAAAGATATCATTTAAACCTTGTACCAACTTAAGAGAAATATTTCAAAAAATTTTTGTGAATCCAATGCTCTTTTTAGTCAAATGAACAAGCAAGTTGCCAGCATTAATGGAAGAGGTAACACAAAATTAGAAGTGTACACATACCATGTTCGGTACGGTAGCTGTTGCCGATGCGAGGAGATGATATCATTTCAAATTCTGAAACCAAGGCACCACTGGAATGGATACAATAAAATTAAAAATCTACACTTACCATCTTCGGTAGCAGTGTCTTTGGAGGGTGGTGATACGATTTCAAGGTCTGAAAACAAAAGATATCATTTAAACCTTGTACCAACTTAGAGAAATATTTCAAAAATTTTTTGTGAATCCAATGCTCTTTTTAGTCAAATGAACAAGCAAGTTGCCAGCATTAATGAAAGAGGTAACACAATATTAGAAGTGTACACTTACCATGTTCGGTACGGTAGCTTGTTCCCGATGTGGGGAGGTGGTATCCTTTCGAATTCTGAAACCAAGGCACCACTGGAATGGGTACAAGAAAATTAAAAATCTGCACTTACCATCTTCGGTAGCATGGTCTTCGGGGGGTGGTGATAAGATTTCAAGGTCTGAAAACAAAAAGATATCATTTAAAAAACCTTGTTTCAACTTAGAGAAATATTTTAAAAAATGTTTGTGAATCAAATGCCCTTTTTAGTTAAATAAACAAGCAAATTTGCCAGCATTAATGAAAGAGGTAACACAATATTAGAAGTGTACACTTACCATCATCGGTATCGTACTTGTTCCCGATGTGGGGAGGTGGTATCCTTTCGAATTCTAAAACCACGGCACCATTTGAATGGGTACAATAAAATTAAAAATCTAAACTTACCAAAATCAGTATCTGTCAATTTTTGTAAATTTACACACAAGTGTCTATCCAGTGTTAATTGCTTTGGCACTGGAGACACGTTTAAATTCAAATCTTTACATAATTGAAGCAATACTTCCTCCGTTTCTAAAAAAATGTGCAATTCATGTTAATCGATGCAACTTAAGTAGACGTCTTACCATTTTCTAGCTTAATTTTGGCGTCGTAGAACCATCCATCGGCCCATCGCACTGATAAAAGTCCCTTTTTTTTAGTATTCCTCACTTGCCGTTTGTTACATATATAATACACACCATCTTCCACAAATTTCACAAGGTAATACATCGGTAATCGATAAAAAATCGCACGAAAACGAAAGAACGCCTCAACACGCAGATATAGAGTGAACCGCGGCAGACCTCATAATAAAAGTCAACGAAAGGAACAGTGTTACTATTGTTACAAATGTAAAAACACAGCAAAATGCATGAATCAGTGTGTGCCTATGTGATAACGACAAGAATATCCTATATGAAATTTAATCCGCAACATTTTAACATTCTTAGAGTTATTTTCGTGCCTCCCTTAGGTTGTGAACTCTCTTAACGTCGCATAATTCTAAAAGTATCATATTTTCGAAACCATATGTAAGGGATGCGAATTTACAACAAAGTACGCACCTAGTTGCAGTATATTATGCCCCATAATTATGGCCGCATTATTAAATCGCATCAATGTATTGAGTAGTTCAAATGAGTAGTAGATGCAATTGACAGCTGTCACATTTTTAAAAATACCGCCGTCCAATTTAATTTCGAAATCGGGTAGGTTATTGCTTAGAATGTCAAGAAGGACACTTCGAACACTTATTGTAGTTGTTTTCGTTATTTATTTTCTTCATTTATGTATTGAATAGGAATAGATCAAATTAGTAGAATACCAGGGGCACATGACCTATAAATAATTGAAGGTTGGTTCACAATGAATTGTGGTGGCAGCGCGTGTCCTGTGAGGTCAATAAGTTTAAGAAAAATTTTCCTAAAGTTGCTATGGCCTCACATAGCTTTTTCAAAAAAAATCTTACCAAGTACCCTTCATCATTAAGACTATAGAAGCCGTTGCTGCTCATAGATTGATGTGTTTTTTTTTTAATCGAACAGGGAAATTACATTGCATACAAAAGCGTATGTTCGCTTTAAAAAAAAACTCACTGTATATTACCTTAGACAGTATTTTTCAACTTGTGGGTCACGGTGATACGAAGTTTCGATCGGGGTGTTGCGATTACAAATCACGCAAAAGGAATAAGCCAATACAACGGAATATCGAAAGATCCTCAGTATTACCATTACTTTTTTAACGACCATTTATTTTAAATCATCCATATAGGCCATAAAGTATCACAACTTTGCAGTTTTTTCCCAACGATATTGGTGCATAAATAACCAGTTTGACCAACAAATACCTAATGTATTTTAAGTGTTGTTGGTTTAACACGTTTTGGTCAAAATACATGTGGTCGCCAAAAATGCATCAAATTCATGTCTTGGGCATTGAAATAATGCTTTGTCTTTTGTCGAACGATATCGGTGTAAGAATAACGATTTTGGCATGTTTTGATCAAAATACATATGACATTTTTTATTCAACGGTTTTAAGAGAAGTCTCCATTAACATTAAGGCATGAATCCCACTGTTGTACTAATTTGTAAATTCCGTGATGGTAAAACTCTTGGGGCTGTTTGCGGAACCATTCCCTAACCGCAAACTCTACCTCAGCGTCAGATTTGAACCCCCGTCCTTTTAGTGAGTGCTTTAATGGGCCAAAAACATGATAATCGCAAGGGGGCAGGTCGAGACTGTAAGGTGGATGTCGTAAAACTTCCCACTTCATACGACTAAGCAGTTCTTGAATCGCCTGGGCTACATGGGGCCGGGCATTATATGTGAACTTCCCGGGATTTTATTCTTGATGCTGACCCGTAAGCACTTTAGATCGCTCAGCATTGATGTTGACACCAGGTTCTTTAAAATCCAAGAGCAACTTTCATTCTCGTATAAATTTCCATTGGTTGCCGTTCTTCAGCGGCAAAAATCTGAATAACAGCACCCAAGTTATATTTGGATGGATTTTCTATATCATGGATGCCATTTTCAAATGCAATCCCAACGCTTAGAAAAGGGCAAACTGCAAATAGTTTTGACAGACGCTTTATTAGTACTTAAGCAAACAATCTAAACAAATGAATTCGGTTGCCATGACGACCAGATCATGCCTGCATAGATCAAACGTGTTTCTATTGAACAATCCTCGTACATGATACATTCTACATCAGGCATTCTACATCAGACAAGATTGTCATGAAACATGCTGTATATAGGGTGCCATAAGGGCAGTCTTGCATTCGGAATCTAATTAATCTCAATCACAACTCGTGATATCTGAAATTTGATGAAAATCCGATGAGTAGATTAGAAGATAGCGTTAGGGTGCCAAAAGGGCACTCTTGAATTCGGAATCTAATTGATCTCAATCGCAACTTGAGATATCTAAAATTTTATCAAGATCGGATGAGTCGTTTAAAAGATAGCGCTAGGGTGCAAAAAGGGCACTCTTGAATCTAATTGAACTTGTGATTGAGATCAATTAGATTCCGATTTCAACAGTGCCCTTTTTGCGTCCTAACTCATCATTTTGATCAAATTTGGGATATCACGGACTGGAATTGAGTTTCGAAAAATCATTTATTTGAGAAATGTTTTGCGTTGTTCATGATTGGCAAGCTTATTAGTTACATTTTATACGGATGGAGATGCAAATACAAATGCAAAATTCGCCATAATGAGCTTATAAAAACAGAATCGCGCACTACGTGGAATTGATAAATTTTGATCTTCCACTTTCAGCAAAAGCAGCCATATGGCGCGTTATTATTGACAGATGTCAAATGGCGCGGCCTTTTACTTTTCTCATTACGAAATGGATAAAATGGACCGACATTAATTCTGCTTAATTTATCGATCGTTGCGATTGTTGAGATTCCAATCGTGGGTAAGCCAGGCGTTCCACGAGCCCTTTATGAATACCCTAATTAATAGAAATTAATTCCTTTCATCGAGATCTTTTATTAGAGTACTATGTAGGATAACCTCCTCCCCCCCTCCCCTCTAACCCTTATTTTGATAATTGGCTGTAATTGGTAGAGAACAGTTCCTTTTGTTGCTACGTTTAACCGTGCAATCTAAAATTCATTTCTCCCCCTCCCCTCCAATCCCCCGTCAGCCACTAACTTCGAAAAGGAGTCTCGCAGGGAAGTTGTATAGTTTGTACAAACCAATTCATTTCAGTGAGACCTTTCATTACAATACCATAAAGAACGTGTGGTACCCACCAACACCTCCAAATTTTGAAATGTTTCACTTGACACCAGTACAGGCATGCGTATGCAAAACCTGACATCCATTGGTTGCCGCATGTAAAAGTTATGCACGTTTTATTAAAAAACGGTATCTCAGGAAATCATTCGGGGGTGGGAGGGAGGGGGCTCTTCTTAAAACAATAAAATTTGATGGCTGTCTGGCGCACCTTCAAAGTATAGGCTATATATTGCAAAAAATCCAGGACTCAAGGACAATTACGCTAAAAGTAGTTCAAATCCGCAGAAGTGGGCCCGGACAGACGGAGAGACAGACGGATGGACGGGCAAAACGCAAACAATAGTACATTTATTAATTCATACAAAGTGTTCTAAATGTATATTAAGTATTAAGTTTTATTTCAGATCATTTCGCGAGATCTTTTGCAGTGATTTTAATGGGAACTATTCAAGTACCAATGCGAATCGAGTGAATAGAGAACAATCCTATTTACTGGCGCAAGTACTCGGTTTTAGCAACTTGTACAAGTTACTACTTTACTAGCGCATAAAAATACAGTCAAAATGCCTTTAAAAAACCTTAGAACTATCAATTTTACATGAGCATCGTATTAAATGCTGTACAAGGAGAATAAAAGTCTATTGACGATATTGGTATATAAATATAATATTCCTACATAATCCTATAATGTAGTGCCTAAAGTACGCGAATTACTTGTGTTCTGGACCTATTTATTGATCTTTTCTCACACAAAAATCCTTGGATATGATGACAGCTTGCTAAATACCTACTACAACTTATTACTTTTGCAGTTACAAAAATAATTAGGTCAGTGGACTTATTCATGATGCTAATCTGAAACAGGATGTGATCTGCATTCCACCGCTCGTGAACAATATCTGTATTATACTATACCGTGTTCGTGACGTTGGATTTCATTTTTTTTTATAATTCATGTTGGAGATTTTATCTATACTAACGTCGAGTAGCGTAATCAATTCGAAAAAAAGAATCTGTATGTTTTTACCGACTATATCCGCGATACTAATATTGACACGTGCCCGACGCGACATTTATAACTCATTAATTAGCTATTTATGCATGAAATTTCGAAATCGGTGCATCAAGCAATCCCGATTTGAATGAAATTTGGGGTATAATTACCAGAAACGCAGAAATCTACAAAAAGTGTTTTTTTGGAAATTGTGACCTTGGGTAGCCCATTTGTGTAAAGTAATGGATGCGCCCTTTTTTGCCTAAAATTATTTAATAAGTGTCCCAAACACTTTTGGTAACGTGTGGCCTTAATAAATGTTATACCAGACCTCATTTGTTCCTCTCTGAGTGCAGGGAACTATATGTAGGCTCATAAAAACAATTTTATGGAAGCAGTGCCTTTTATACGTCCACATATACGCAATTTAATAGGTTGCACACAATTTTTTAATAAAATTTGCAAAAAAGTGTTTTTTGGAAATTGTGACCTTGGGTAGCCCATTTGTGTAAAGTAATGGATGCGCCCTTTTTAGCCTAAAATTATTTAATAAGTGTCCCAAACACTTTTGGTAACGTGTGGCCTTAATAAATGTAAAAGTGCACTTTTTATTTTTTGTAAGTGAAAGTGCACTAAAATTGGGGCTTCTCCTTATTATATTAAGCGATTAATTGCTTGTGCAGCCAAAATCCTTATTAATCTAATAGTAAACCTTTAACGATTTGGAAACTACATACGGTTTAAGGTTTTGGTGACAAAGGCGATGACTTTTTTTAATTGCATAAAATGTAAGGAATACCTACGTATTTTATAGGGATATAGATTATAGTCGTATAGTGAGTCACCCACATCCTCAACGCTTATGCGTAGGCGGCGGTATCGCAGTCGTCGTAAGAATGTCCTTACTCATCAACTTCAAATCTACAGACTACAATGTTAGTTCAATTTCAAGTTCAACAGCTGATTAGGATGGTTGGCCGACGGTTTTGAAAAATGGAAAATTATAACTAATAGTATGAACAGATGCAGTATTTTTTTCTCTAAAAAAGACGTATTTAGACTTTTGCTCTAAAATAATTTGGGGAGCTAGTAATTGACTATAAAGAAATTACCATTGAAATCCCTATGCTGCGTTGCGCTAGGCACCACCCTGTATACAGTGTGTATCAGCGAAGTGGAATAAATTCGGTAATAAAGTAAATTGAGACGTGTCCTTTCACTTAGGTATGGCATAGTACTCCGATTGTGCTTATTTGGGGTTTTATGCTCACAGTTTGTGCCTTTTTGTATTTAGGACCCTAAATTAAGCTTTTTAGCGCATTTTCCAACT